AAGCACACAAAACATTTATCAGTGGAGTCTGTTTGATACAGACAGATCAATGCATGTATTACATGTGATGGTATTCTGTTGCTTTTTTCCCTCCCTAAACAAAATACTCTTCTAAACATTTTTATGTTTTGCATTTAAAACAGCAAAGTGCTTTGAATCTGTCTACCGCACTGCTGGGTGAGATACTCCACAGAGAATGCAGTGGTAAAGGGTTTGTTGTTTTTGACAGCACCATTAGAAGCATAAAATCTTCTCTAAAGGACTGGCAGAGTCTTGTAATAAGGGCTACAGGAAATGACTGTATTGGGTGTGGAAGAAGAAACAGTCCAGATTTAACACATGAGCTACCAAAATAGTTGAAAACAGAGTGCAGGAAATGGCCTCATAAAATAGACTAAACTATACTATACACGAAAAGGAAAATGGATGAATAATACAAAAGCCCATTGTTTACAATGATAGTGTTGATCACTCTAAATAGAGATTCAAAAGGATCACAGAAATTTGAAGCATCCCATATCAAATGTTAAATTGAAAATATTAATGCGTGATAAAACACTGCTAGTTAATATATAATAAACACAAGCTACAATATAACAAGGAGCTGTTTGAATGTGTAGTATGCTGATATAATTATCTGCAAGTAAAATGGTCTGAGACACAAAGGTCGTATTTATAGTTCCATGTACCATTAAAAGGGTACTGTCACGTCAAAATCTCACTGTTGTCAAATAATTTTTCTTCAGGATTAACCCTTTAGAAGACTAAAATTGAATCTGTTTTCAAATCTGTTTAATTGTACTCCCAATTAATCTTATATTACTGTGTGAAATTTCTCTTTCATGCACACATGGCACAAAGATTAAATTTGCACAGTCCCCTGTATTATGCTAAATCCATCCCTTAACCACTAGGCAAAACACAAAGCAATCCTGTGACTCATCTGCTGTTGCTGTTTTAACCACTGGCTGGAGTCAAGAACCGCAACCTCTTTGCATTTCTGCACTGGTGTTCTGACTGTCGGCGTGCCACACCTCTAATCACCCTTCCTCCTTCATTGGGTTATGCTGGGTTTGCATAGATTCTGGTAGAATATATGGAATTGGTCCCCTGGTATACCTGCCGCTCATCTACGTCAACTTCACCCATTGGGCACTCTGTTTTCTGGTAGTCATAGATTTCGTGCCACAGCAGAATGAAATCAGCCAACTGGTTTGATGGGGCACACAGAGGTAGTTTATACTTAGTATATTTTTTGATTGCAGAGGTATATATGTGTATAAATATTATACATACTTGATTGTATCCTTGTTCCTCCACTCTTTGTATGTATCTTATTAGACCCAGTTCCTGCCAGCCACTCTGTGTGGGCAGATCCCCATAGAAGTCATTGGGATTCTGTGCAGGTGCAAAGATCCACCTGCTTGAAGCATTTGCAGAGTTGGGACCTGGGATTGTAAACACTTTAGAGAAGGCCCACGTCTTCATTTGCTTGTACAACACCTAGCACAGTGGGGCTCTGATTTTGATTGGGACCTTGAGTGCTATTGTAATATAAATGTTAAATAATATTTCTGTTCATGTCCTACTCTGGAAACTGAAGTGCTTTTCCCCACTTACTTTAAATGTGAATTAGTTTTACATCACCTGTGTATTCAGAGATGTGACTGTGTGTGTGTATATAGCATAAAATATAGATGCATGCTTTGTGTGTGTACATACATGTCTATAATGCTCATATATATGTCTTTTGATTCATAAATATCAGGTTTTGTCAGTGAGTTTTAACATTACCACATTGCATGTTTCCTAATTTCAAGCATGCTTAAAACTTTCACCAAGACTCCATTTCTTGTTTTCCTTTAAGGACCCTTACTTAGCCATGGTTACTTCTCACTTAAGCACCAGGATTGCAGCCCACGTCTCCTTCACATTAGCAATATCTGCCATTTCCTGCTTCCTTCCAGTGTCCCTAACCAGTTAAAGCGACCATCAGCCAGCCACTCCCTGTAGTAATTTCACATACAAACTGTGTTTGGATTCACCTCACTCAGACCTTGCAACAACCACAACAATCCGTCCCTGTCCAACTACAAAAAAACTCTCCTCCATTCTTCCCCAAGCAACCAAACCTATAGCCATATCCAGTTTCAGACCCCTTCCTCACTTCCAACAAAACCCTCCACCAACTTTACCCAATATCTACTACAAATCCATAGACTTATCTAAAATATTGTCCCACCCCTCCAAAAACCACCCCAATTTCCCCAATTTCTGTTTCATCACCCCAGCCGTACTTGCAGGAGAAGCCTACAAATGGTTTTTGTTAACCTAGGGGAGAAAAAAGGCTGTTTTCCCTCCCTGGTGAAGCGGTACAATAGTGGCTCTTCTTCCCATGGGAAGAGAGAGTCAGACTTTTCTCACGATCCCCCACAACCTTTGTGGAAAGATGGTTGAATATTATATTAAATTATTTTTGATTATTGAGCCAAAAAAGGGGGTTTTAAAATTTATTTCAATGCATTTGTAACCAAACAATTGATTTTTTTTTCCATTTTATTCCTCAAAAACCATTTTTTAAAATTTTTAGTGGAAATCTTTTCTGTTTTAAGTGTTGTTTAGCTGAAAAATCGATTTTTCCCCCCCTTTCTTTCCTCACAAACTCTTTTTTCGTGCCACACCCATAGCCATTTTGGGAGAGGAGTCCTCTGGACCCTCCGTAGGCTTGTGATACATGAGGAATGTAAGAGGCTGGTACAGTTCCAGTCATAGACTCTTGGCTCAGTAAGAAATCCACCAAAAAGGTGAGAGGGCCACAGTTTGTGCTACTCAGTTTTGTGGCTTCACTGCCCATTTCTGCACGTGTCTGGATGTTTATGGTTTCTATGTTTGGATTTCCAAGTTCCAGCGATATTGTATTTATTTTATTTAAAAATAATTTCATAAAGTTTCACACGCCCTTTTGAAAAAAAAGGTTATCGATAAGGTATCTTATTAAGATTATATAAATTTTAAGGACATTTGATTACCATTCATATATAAGAGCCTGTTGTTTTTCCACTGTTAAATAAAATTGCTAGCATACTGTACACGTTTACTTTATAATGCATCACTGTCAATCACTTAGACGTTGTGTCATGCTGTCCTGTTAATACACTTCATTGTTCTTCATAGGCATTTGGAGTTTTGCTTAAGAGAAAGGAATGTGAAACTGTCCATTTTCTTATTTTAAATGCCTTTAAATTAACATGTACTTACTGTAATAAAATGGAATTGGGCACAGGGGCCTATTCAAATTATAATGATAGTATAATATTCATGCCAGTAAGGTGCTACAGGCTATTAAAAGAAAATTTCACACCCAGTAAACTTTAGGGTAATAGACCTGCCACTGAATTGTGACTATAAAGAGCACTTTCAGAACTGGAATGTTAGTATAAACATAATTTATTATTAATTGTATTTATTTATACATATACTGGTTCTGTAGTGTGAACCACACAGTTCACTTCCCCTGTTGTAAATTTCTCTCATTTTCAGCTTAATATATTTTTTCATTAATGGCTGAATAAAATCTGTGTTTTCTGAGGACCATTGCTATCAATTTGGCAAAATTGTTCTGATGAAATCTTCAAAAAAGTTGCCTGAAAAATATATTGCAATTAGCATGATAGGCATTTGGCTGTTTTGTTGATGAATGTTACAGGAAAACAATTAGAAATGCTTCTGCTGTTAGTTGTCTCAAAAATTGGTATTCCTTGTTTCACTGACTTGTTTGAATATAACTTAAGGTCTGAATCTTTTGTGATACTGATCACTCTCCATTTTCATTGACCTCGGTGGGAACAGTCAGCACCTCATAGGCAATGACCTGTACATAGTCTAGTGGTGACGGGAGGGAGGGAGAGAGAGAGAGAGAGAGTGTGTGTGTGTGTGTGTAGGCTGAGGTGGATGGTAAGGAAATGGACTTGTTTCAAGTTTCTCCTCATCTTCCTTGTTGGAGAAATACTGTATAAAAGTACCTTATCAGATTCATATCATCTTACCAGAAAGTGTTCTCTGCTAAAATAATGTATTTTCAAAGGTGACGGGCAAATTGGAAAAACATAGAGCTACAATTTAAAGGCTTGTTAATTGAGATACTGAAAATGTCTTTTATGCAGTGTAAGATACACTTGTTTATTTTTACGAAAGAATCTCAAAAGAGTTTGTAGGTTGTTTTTTAAAAATCTTATAAGCAACAGCACACTGTAATTCATGTTCTGCCTGTGGGGTGTGTGGGTGGGGTGTGTGTGGGTGTGTGTAGGACCATTTGTTAGATACTGTTTTGTTGCTACAGCAGCCTAGAGGAACTTCAAAGGCTAAATTAATGAACAGATGGCTTTAACACACTTTCCTGACAGTGTGCACTCCTCAGCGTTTAAGTTGCCACAACACACCCTGAGGTGACACAAGCGTTACATATTGATCTTTTGGTGAAAGATACTTTGCTTTTTCTGTTCTACAATGTAGGATGTAGCTTAATTATTCCTAAAAGGGTTAGACTCTTGTGAAATATTTGCAACTGAAACTTTTGTCTAAAAATAATGTGGAGTTTGTACATTTGCACTGTGGATTTACACTGCTTGTGCTCAGTCTTAAGGTGCATTTCTTTATATTTCCTACTTTAGGAAATGGATTTATTAACTCTCGAGCTTCACCAAGCCTGCTAGGAACTACTGGTGGTGGGAATGGATTAGGCAAAGTTATGCCTACAAAGTCTCCGCCTCCACCCGGAGGAGGTAATCTTGGAATGAACAATCGCAAACCAGACCTTCGTGTTGTCATCCCACCTTCCAGCAAGGGCATGATGCCTCCATTGGTAAGTTGGGCCATTCATTCTATAGTATACAATATACAGTATGCCCAAGGGGTGCAAAAGGAGTGCTGCTGAAAGGGAAACTATGGCATCTCAGGCATTATGGAGATGGCACCTTAGAAACACCCCTGTAGTAGGAGACTTGACTGATAAAAGAACACGACTCAAGTGCAGGTTGCCATCTTGGACAGTATTCGCAAAAAAAGAGGGAGAAGATATTCTTACTTTCATTGGATTAATAAATACAGAATAATGATCTGACCTACATTGGGTTAATTAGGTTGCTATATTGGAGACTTTGGTTTGGTTTCTTGTCCTGATTGCAATCTTCCTCCGTTGCTAGGACTGAGGGTTTTAGTGGTTTGGTTTTTAGGGGGTGAGGGAAGAGTTTATTGTACCACTCAGCAATGGCAACTTTTGCTGATTACTGAGCTGTGTCGAGGGGCCTCGATGTAGAGTTCTGTCCGGTTCTCCCAGGTTGCAGTGTTGGTGAGTTGTGACATGTGGCTCAGAAAAAATGATGTGGGAGGAACCTTCATTTGGTTTAGCGTGTTAGTACAATAGCCATTCACTCCCCATATTTGGAGTTAAAATCTTGAATGAGGACACAAGAATGAATGGTGGTCTCATCGTTTGTGCAGCTCACAAAGCCACTATGCCTTTCAGCACATCAGCAATGTTTGTTCAACCTACCTCTAGATATAGCAGAGGGTACTGAGGTTGGCACGGCTCTCTCTGGAAGTCTTATCCAGCTTCTACTTCAACCTTGTGTGGCTGAAGTCACTGATATCAGTCTCTATATTTTATGTGCAAACTCATAATAATTTAAGTACCGTATATACTCGTTCATAAGCCGAATATTTTTGGTAAAAAAGTGACGCATCAAAGAGCGGGGGTCGGCTTATAAACTGGTCTACACCAAAATTTGATGGTTTTAAACTCTATGGAATCATTTAATTGAATATCTAATACAGGTATCGGCAACCTTTGTCACACGGCCCGCCAGGGTAAGCACCCTGGCAGGCCGGTCCGGTTTGTTTACCTGCCTCGTCCGCAGGTACGGCCGATCGCGGCACCACTGGCCACAGTTCCCCGCTGCAGGCCAATGGGGGTAGTGGGAAGCGGTGGCCAGCACATCCCTCAGCCTGCGCTGCTTCCCGCCGCCCCCATTGGCCTGGAGCGGCGAACCGTGGCCACTGGGTGCCGCGATCGGCCGTACCTGCGGACGTGGCAGGTAAACAAACCAGCCCGGCCTGCCAGGGTGCTTACCCTGGCGAGCCACGTGCCAAAGGTTGCCAATCCCTGATCTAATACATTGTAGTTTTGTTTACCTGGAGCGTCTGCAGGCATGAAGCCCCTCAGCTCCTTGTAGCCGTGGTTCGCCGTTCCCAGCCAATGGGAGATGCGGGAAGTGCGCACCACTTCCCGCAGCTCCCATTAGCTGGGAACGGTGAACCGCGGCCACAGGGAGCTGAGGGGCTTCATGCCTGCAGACGACCCAGGTAAACAAAACGTCCTGACCCGCCAGCGGCCTACCTGACAGACCGGGAGCCAAAGTTTTCCAACCCCTGAAATATAGGGTCAGCTTATGAAAGGGTCATTCAGTTTTTGCTATTTTTACCTATCCATTTTGGGGTTGGCTTATAAACGAACGTGCTAATGAACGAGTATATACGGTACATATATTCAGTTTATGAATCCTCCCCATATGGAAGTAGCCAAAAGGAGCACAGGATGTAAACAGTATAAGCATTCTTTATACAATATTTACTTATTTATGTTTAAGATTCCACAAGTGTTTACTTTTGCTATTGATGGTAGAGCTAAATCACGCAAAATCAATGTAAGTAGCCAGAGTCCTAATTAAAGAAGTTTTTTAACACCTTTATTAAAATGTTTGAGGTTTTTCTAAAAATGCACAAATTACAGAGCACATTCATAAAGAAATATGTTGCTAAATCTTAATGTGAAACTTGTGCTTTAAATTATTTTGAAAAATGAATACAGGGGGAAATATTTTAAAAAGCAGTTTTAATGTTCTCTCCTTAAATTCTCATTCTCTCTCTCTCTCTCTCTCTCTGTCTGGTGGAGAAGGGAGAGAAGTAAAGAGTAGAGATGCCTAGATGTCATGGTGATTGGTGCACTAAAAATACGTGCCTATGCAGTTGACTTCCATCTGAGCAGTTCAACCATAATAGAACCGATGTGCACCTGTGTCCATATATGATGTCTGTGAATACTTGTGCCCTTGCTCTTGCTAGTTCAGCCAATGCTAATTTTCAGAGCATCTGTAAACAACCTTTTGTAGTTGTGAACACAACTTTTGCCACAGTATTTATTCCTGCATTAAAACACTTTTTTTATTAATTGACCCAAAGTGTATATAGTAAGTATATAATCACGTACTTTGTAACAGTGTTTACATAATAGCACGATAAATTCAAAATATTAACAAACCAATAAATATTGGTAGTTACAGTTACATGACTATTTTATTTTATTTTTGAAAGCAATGCTTTTCTTAGTAACTGTATTATCCCTCTTGTTTGCTGAATACAGTCGGAGGAGGATGAATTGGAGTTGGTGAGTTTGGGTTCCTGCTTGATGAGTGAAGAAAGCTTAAGTCATACTACGTGGTCTCAGTTATACCAATGTTCCCTTTGTGGCAGAGAAATGTACTTGTTTTATCCAAATAAAAAACCCCACAAAAATTGCAAAGTGCAAATACAGCCAAAGTCTAGCATTCTCCATTTATAAATTTATGTTTTTATGAAACCGTTTTTCTTAGAGGGAACATTGGAACAGAGCCTTACTCAGTAACTGTCCATGCACACAGGGTACTTGTTCTGATGGGGTCGAGTGTTAAATGCCTTTTATAGTCCCCAAAATTATTGAAATATTTTTAGAAAATTACTTCACTCCTGAAGTTCCTCAAATTGTAACACACGCTGTGTGTTATTTCTCCTCCTTTCACGGAGATTACATCATTGCTGGTGAGGTCACCTTTTTACAGAGTTGGATATATTTCATGCTTTACGAGATGATCAAACCACAAAGGAGGGTTCCCTGTTTACCACAAGGAATATGGAATTG